GTAAAGGATTGGATAGAATGGATAATGTGTGAAGTATTAGTCGAATGTCAGCTTTCAGTTGTCAATGACGGCCGGTGCAACAGTGATTGTGCCGTTTCAAATGGTCTTTCAACCAGATCCCTTCTTTGTGATCAGTGTATCCAGAGAGAATATCGTTGACGATGCAATGGTGGCGTTACTGTCCTCGAAAAGTATCGACTTGAAGAAACCACTCAAGGTTAGTGGATAAGCTGACTGAGCTGACTCTATTTTGTATTTTCAATTCACATGCGGCAAGTAATTGGGTGTTTCGACAGTTTGCCGAACGGTTATTTTCGCTTACGACATGCGATCCTCACATCAAACAGTGAGAGCATTAGTTAGTATCAGCATCAGAAGCACATAGTGCAGAAACTTTCGTGGAGAATTTGAGTTGAGAGTGATGAAAGTGCGAAATTGATTTGAGGTGATGTTCCGTGGAGAAGAAGGAGATGATGCAGGCGGTGTAAAGAAAGAGTTCTTCATGCTTCTTTTCCAAGAACTTCTTCAACCGACGTTTGTCGTTGTGTTCATATTCGTTTCAAAGAAACAAACACAAAACTGCTTTCTTAACTCATTGCTAACACTAATTGTTTCATTTCAATGCGTTCATTCAACCAGATTCCGAATGAACAACATTTCGATGGATAGTCGGCCACAGATATTTATCATGTCTCCGTCAAAGCAGTCGTATGCAATCGAACATTCAACTGAGCCATCATATCTTGTTTCAGTTATGGAATGTTCGCCGAAGATGAACAATCGCATCTGATCTGGTTTTCGGGCATAGAAACTGATCAGTTGAGTTTCAAATTGATTGGTATTCTGTGTGCATTGGCCATCTACAACAACGTCTTAGTGGATTTTCCATTTCCGTGTGCACTCTACAAAAAGATTCTGCAACAACCGCTCACCCTCGAAGACCTCAGTGAACTGAGTCCTGCTGAAGGAAGGTATGCTGTCTATCATATTTCTTATTTATCGCAGTATGTTGTCGATCATACGAAAGCTTTTCCGTGTAATTCTTAATACAATTTCTTTTCTGAGATGTGCGTTGTATGATTGTTCTAGGGATGGAGGTTTTTGAGAGTAGTGAATTAAGAATTGTTAGTGTTTTATTGACATATGAGATACAAGTCATTGACTCGAGTGTTCCAGCAAAGGTTCAGAGTCCATCATGGCTTAGGTGAAAGATTCGTAAAGGGATTGAATGAACTTGCGAAGTAATAGTTACGAATGACTTGAATCTCTATCAAAATTTCTCATTAAGAATTCATCACCTTCATTCTGATTATAAGGTATGAGGATGTTCGTGATAATTTCTTATCGAACGAGTAATTTTATGGAAACTGATCATTGCTTCAGAGGACCTTGTTTTGTTTTAGTTTTTAGTTTAGTGAATTTAATGTATTTCTTATGAG